TAGACGTCGGCGGTGATGGCAGCGGCAGCGGCCACTTGCTTTTGTGATATAGACTCTCGGATACGAAGAGCCACACGATGGTCGCCTTCGGCGCGGGTTCGAGGTCGCGCGCCCCCGGGCACTCCCTTGGGACGCGGCGCTCGAAGTCCCCGTCGGATTTGGTCTCGGAGGGCCCGATTTCGGGCTGCCCATCGGGTGGCAGCGCCGCGGCCTTGGCGGTGAGCATGCGGGGGCGACGCGCCGCGGCGTTGGGGGGCCGCGGGTCGATGGGGACGACGCGCCGCGGGACGACGACGGGGGGACGGGCGCCGCGCCGGGGCGCTGCTAGACGTGCAGCGCGCGCGCGCGCGCTTGCGCCCGCTCCAAAGAGTCCGACAAAGAGCCCCATGAAGAAGAAGCAGAAGTCGATCACGGACGGTCCGGCGGCCGCGCTCGGGGCCGCGCGGCGCGGCGCCAAGCACGTCATCGAGCCCTGCGGGGCCTACAATGAGACGCCGAAGCTCTGCGACTCTGACGTCAACGTTACGGAAATAAATAGATAGGTTTATGCTGGGAATACTTAACTGCTGCCCGCGCGCGCTTCCCCCCAAGCACGACGGGCTTGTATTCCCACTCCGCGAACGTCTTCAAGGGGGAAGATAGTCCTCGTCGTCCGAATAGGATAAGTGCCGGTGGAATCTGTGCATTGCTAAAGCGGAGGTATCTGGCGCATAGCCTCTCCTGGTGGACACCTTCTCCAGGTCAGATGTTATGGACTGATGTGTTAATGCAGCCTTGATGGTGTCCCATATTTTAGTACGAGAAGATCGAGGAGCCGGGGGGGCATGCTGTTGGGACACGTGACTCAAAGCGATTTCCGCCATGGACTCTAATGCTGGCACGTATAGGACTGGAGCCATGAAGAGCAGCGCAGACCACGCACGTCTTGCACTTCTTCTCTCCCATCCACCCAAGGTTCTCAAGTGTTACAAGGACATCACACCGAGCAGTGAACTGGTCGAGTCGACCAACGCGTCCATGCCCGATGCGACCAAACGGTCGGGTGTTGACCTGGAACGTCTTGCCTCTGGTATCGCAATCGTAACTTCCACAGGCCAGTACTTCGCGACGATCCCACAGTATAGACTCATGCAAGGAGGCTAGGTCGACGAAGATTATTTTCGACGTAACAACGATCCTTTAAACGCGGCTATGCTTTGTCCCAAAATCAGCGTCTGCTGGAGATCCCCCCACGCGGCGAAAGCCGTCAAAACTCCTGTGGCTAAGTATGATGTGCACACTTGACGCGGGGGGTACTCCGAGCAAACCTCATCCTCGATATGTGCTCACGAGAACCACGAGGTTCCCGACCAACAGAGATTGATGTGTCATGCGCCCCATTTGGCTCTTGAGGTGCTAAAAGTAATTCTCGATTTGCACCCGGGGATATTCCAGTCACACGAGCTGCTGACCTCGAGACAGAACCAGTAAGATTCTTGATCTGCAACAGAGGCTCGGGACTTGTCCTAGTACCCCGCGAGAGTACCGCAAGCTCGTAAGTTGGCAGATGCGCGCACGTCGTTGCATCCCGTACGTATTTGTATGCGAGCAAAATCGCTCTGCATGTACTCATGGCCGCGATTAACGAGCTTGTCCATATGCAACTATCGTCTACTTCTGACGCCGTGGACTTCGCATCTGGTTCCCAAGTTCTTCGAGAATCCAAGGACTGAGCAGAAGGAGATATGGTTGTGACTTCAAGATTGGTACCAGCGATATGCACCATAACGTTCATAGGGGTGCTTAATTGTGCGAGAGGTTGAATGAGCTTGCCCACGTTGGATGTCAAAGACTCCTCTATTCGAGCATCGTGTTCAGTGATTTTAATCATGGCGGTGGAAAGTGTACCGACAATGCGTCGAGCATCCGCATTTAGGTTATCTGATACGGCATCGAAGTCAAACTTGCTGAATCTAATTATGCCGGTGGTCATTGGATTCTGATTGCAGAGATGTGCACAATCCACAGGCCAGCTTGAATACGCGCAAGCACCATGGCGGCGAGCTGTAGTTTCAGCTTGGAAGATCTTACACGCGATTAGATCATGCAACGCAAGTCTACGGTGATTTTGATGATGCCGCCCAACATGAGAGGCATTTGTAGCGACGCTTGCTAGTAGATCCACAAGGTCACCGAAGCCAAGGCGGCGAAAGCGCACGCCATCAGCAGCGAGTAAGATATCAACTCGTTGCCTGATTTTGAGGGTATTTAAAATCCCAGAATCTGCCAAGAGTCGCACAACCTGGACACGGCTCAATGCCGCGCGTGAACCCACATTCAAGCGCTCCCCATAAGTACAATAATAAGCAAACAATTGCCTCAGCCGATATAAGAGCGGTTCAGTCAAAAGCTCACGGTCAAATTTGGTATGCGCATCACCGTCTTTGCCCCAACATGCGGAGATCGCAGGTCTTTCGGCACCTACGTCTGCACAGTGGTCATCTCTGCCCGCAGCAAGTGCGCACACGCATGATTTTACCAGGAACGATGTCACTGGCCTAGCGCAGTGATCCAGCCAAATGAATAAAAGCCTAATACAAAGGAGTGCGATCTGATTCTGCTAGATTTAAGATGGCGCTGTCCGTCAAACTTCAGTTTTTGGGCCAGGTGGGAGTGAACAGGTGCACATTCATCATTAGAGAAGACAATAACAGCAAATGCAGCTAGGCACGCCGCAAAATCAGAAAAGTTCAACGATCCTACGTGTCTAAAAAGCTGATGGAAGCAGAGCAGGCTGACAAGGACACACCGCTCGCCGTCTTGCCCATCATCGTTCGGAAGAGCTGAAGAATCTCAACACGCGCCTAGAAAATGTTTCACACCTGAGGTCAATGAAGACGAAGCACCATGAGGCAAGGGAAGATATCATAATCACGTGCAAATTTCAGGTACTGCCCCTCTGAAAGTTGCCGCTTCTGGAGAGGCAGAGCACCACGAGAGTATGATAGGAATACCCTATATGGACCGAATCGGCAAGTCCAACAAGACACGTCCCGTCCGACCTTAGTAGCAAGGCCGCATTCGCTCGCATGAGCACTGGCATTTCTTCCAACATTGCAGTCTTTGACGCGTCTTTGTAAAAACAACTGTAGGACCCCGCACCAAAAATCGGCCGATTTTAGATCGTCGAATTTGGCTGTGCCGCCCAGTGCGGTGGATAGCCGGCGTCGACCCGATAATTAAAGAGTTTCGGTTTGTGTAATTCGGTCTGGATTTCGTAAAGTTACGGCTCCTCAAAGTCTCTATTTTTTTCCGATGGCGCAATGGACGACCCATTTACGCGTAAGGCGTTCGTTCTACGGAAATCAAGATATATATCCTCCGTCGCTCGCTGTGACTATCCTAAAGCCAGACTCTAGGTACAAGCCCACTGCACTGCCAACTTCAAGCTAAGCCAGTCAAGATACCTCAGTCCAGTCTCCCGCCACACGGTGGGGGAGAGCCAGGGGGGACGCCGCCGCCCCCGGGCCGACGGCAGGCCTTTCAGACCACGCCCTGGCCACCGCGCGGCTGGCGCCTCTAAAAGTCTTAATTTCCACCCTGCTCCTAAGTGTCGTATATTAAAGCAAGGGACTCGGCTGTGGCCTGCCGAACGCTCCTAATGGTCCTCTAATGGTGGTTCAAATTAAACCCCCATGGTGGTTCTCACTTGCATTCCACACTGGGCCCGGCGAAGCACGTGGAACCCGTGGAACCCGTGGAACTCAACCTACTCGACCCCCCTTCAGGGTTTGTAATACTCAGCAGAGACGAAATCGAGCGAGAGTTGACTTTTATACAAAAGTGAACTTTTGATTAATTTCGACCCGGCTTTTGATTAATTTCGCCGGGGCTCGAGCTGGTCTCGTCCTGGAAATGGTCGACCTTTTTTTTTTTTAGGATCTTTTACTTCAAGTTGCATTCGCCAGTGCGGCTAGGGAGCTCGCGGGAGTCGCCAGTACGGCTAGGGACCGGACGGCGACGGACGTATACCCTGCGGCGTTTGATTGAGCTTCGGTCATTTTGATTTCTCAGGTCGTCCAAAAGTGAACTTCACAGCCCGATTTCGTCACTGATACTCAGGGGAGGTATGTCAGCGAGGTATGGCTGGGGCATGTCATGGTCTCGGGCAGCGCGAGGCAGCCTGACGGTCCTGTGTGGCATTAGACTGTGTGCATTACCGTATGCCTGGGTAATCTGTTTGAACACTCTGTTCTGAGCAACCAGGGCTAGCAACCAAGCCGGGTTTGGGCTATAGGATTAAGCAAGTTTTCAATCGGATTGATTGCTTGTAGTGAGTCGAGAGCAACTTCGGGATACCGAGGTAAATACTAGCCCAACCAACCTCAAGGTACTCTACTGATCTCTATCTCGCCTGAATTTGGTCTAAAAAGGACAAAGGAGCCGTCACAAGCAAAATTGCCTGGATTGAACACTTTCACATTTTCGTATTCTGTCGTGAAAGGAGGTGCCGTGTCATCACTAAGACAGAGAATGCTAGGAGGTGGATATAATCGAAGTGTGTGATCATAGTTCCAATGTTTAGGTGAAAGCGAAGGTGCGAATGGTGCAAGGTGGCACTGATCCAGAAGCGTCTTGGCTAGGTGTGCGGATGAATCGACCAACTCAATATGATTTGCGCATCCAGCGATGTGTCGTGATAGCTGGCGCAACTTTCTCAGAAGATCATCGCGATGAAACACCTAATTGGTAGTTCTTACTAGGGGGCAGCGCATGAGACATGTCTGTTCTTGCTAGCACGGAACATTACAATTTCTTCACCGTGGCCAAAGCGGAATCGTGCTGGGGATGTTGTAAAGATTGGAGCTGTGCCTGTGCATTTGGGGTGTGGTCTTAGCTCGTGTACGGGTGTCGGACCATTCGTCTTAATCTTAATGCGATCTACAAGCGGCTGGATGGCCTGCTGTAGGAGCCTACCGCGTGGAAGTGCCGGCGACCCAGCCACGGGATCATTTGGGCCTGGAATGAACACCTAGGTATCACAACGTCCATAGAAAGTCCGAGCTGAGACACGACAGGTCGTCGCAGAATTTCACCAAGTCAATTAAGCTTGCCATGGATTCTTGTCCGATATCAAGCTCAGGAGCACAAAGAGCAGCTCCTAGTTCACCAAAACGAAAACGATAGCTACTCGTGACAGATTGCGCTCCACTGTTCGCTGAGGTGCGACTTGTAAAATCACCAAGAAATATAATCACCTAAGCCTGCTTACTGGAGTTTGGTCGTAATGGCGAACGCATGGAAGGAGTACCGGTCGTTTTGGCACCTTCTCCTTGGTTGTACAATAGTGTTCGCATATCGGGAGTGCAAGTCCAACAAGCAAAGATCGTAGTCGTGGTAGTGCAGCCTACGAAGTCTTATCCGTATACGTATTTAGACGAGACGTGGTATCGAAGGGTAGCCCAAAGGGTTCACAGGAAACTACAGGCGAGTCTAAGTGACAATTGGCAATCACGAGCCATGGAGCATCGCGAGACATATCTCCTGCGGCGCGGTGAGTAGTCACCATGCCTTGAGGTTCACACACCGAATACATCACGATCAACGCCACAGTTATTTAGGAAAACCTGAAGAAGTTCTTGCTACAAAAAGCTGGGAGTACGAAGCTAACTCTCCCGCAACGCACGTCTAGATGTCGGCCTCCGACTGCCCTGAAAGCGAGATCACGAGGCTCAAAAGGTGGATGTCCAAGAGCCTAAAAGTATTTTAAGGGTCGAAAGAGGCCCAATTTTAGACGTGGCACCGTTGTTATACATCCACAATAAAGACTTCTCCATCTAAGCCCATCGAGCCCTCAGCAATAATGACCTGTAGGCTCAAGAATTCCACAATTTTTAAACGTATGTTGTGGGCACGATTAATGACCATTCCTTCAGCAAAAAATCCTCCAAAGGTCTCAGCTCTTGAAATGTCCAACTTAACAACCTATGATTAGTGCATGACCGCAATGCGCATAATTGACAGGTAGTTTACA